CCATATAAACAGCCTGCCCAGACAAATGAATTAAGATGACAGAGTGAAGCAGAATTTCTCTCCCCTATCCCTAATGCAATGAAAAATGTATGCCCTGTTGTTTTAACGCTCCAAATTCACCACCAACCAAGCAAGAAAAGAGGAAACTATGCTATTAACTTCAAGGGGACGGGGAGACACACACACACACACACACACACACACACACACACACGATTCTGGTACTACACACAGTGTGGTATGGCTCCTGCCCTTAACCCAATCCCAGAAGTAGTAGAGACCAAGGAAGGTAAGTCAACAAAATCCTTTAGGCAATAAGACCTGCAAGGTAAGTGAGCAGACTCAGGAAAACCTCTTGTGAATAGGAGCCCAGCAGGACTCTGGCAAAGGAAGAACCAGCTGCTGAAGCCTACTGTCGTTCACAGGAACTGTGCTTAGATGGCTGAGGGAGTCAAAGCCCAAGGGAGCTGGCATGCCCACATGGTAGAGGATAGGTAATAGTATTTCAGAAGAGAAAGCAGAGGTACTAAATGAGGGCTATACTCAGCCTCACTGAGCTCATTCACTTCCCTTATCACAGACTACAGAAAAGATTGAAAGGAGAACCCAATTATTAGACTGTAGCTTGGGGGGAGGAGGACTGGTCATAAATAAGGTAGGAAAGGTAAGAAGATTCACTCTCACTATATCAGAAAGAAGTTGTGAACAGAGCTATACATATTAAGATGAAAAGAAATGCTGTGGCTACAATGGAAACATAAATAGCATGCCCCCCTGCCAAAAAAAGCATATAGAAGATAAATGAACTCAGTGTGGATGAAAGTAGAACACAAAGGACAGAGGCAGATTCTCCACAAGTATCTACATATAGTCATAGAAAAAAGTCTTAAGGATGAACTTAACAAAACAAGAAAAGCTTGGAGATGAGATACATAGATTGAGATGAACACAGATTGTAGAGATAAACAAAATAACAAAATAACAAAATACCACTAACAGATTTAATTTAAAATAGCAAGGAATTTCAAGAATTGCAAAATTTAGATAACCTGTCATTTCTTCCACTTCAGACACACTACATTTGTATAGGCAGGCGAGCATGATGATTTTGAGCTTGGCCTCTGAATCCAGATTGCCTGGATTGAAATCTCAGCCCTGCCCCATATTAATGGTGTGACCTGGGACAATTTACTTAACTTAAAGCATAAAAGGTATGGTAAAGATTAAATGAGCTGACTCACATGAAGTACTTAGAATAGGACTTGGCACAGAGTAAGAGCTCAAAATATATTAACTGTCATTATCATAAACAACTTAATCCATTAACATTAGCTGGATGCAAAAAAGCACCAAGGAATTAATCTTTAGTTGTGTAGGTGCTGTCAAAACCATTTAAGTATGTCAGGTGAGCATGTTAAAGCTATGCTCTACAATTAAAGAAAATTAAAGATAGCAAAATCTGTCCATTCATATAGAAATATTCTTTAGAGCTACCCCCTCTTTTAAGGCTGAAATAAAGACCAAAATTGGTTAATATACTAGAACAACAGTTCTCAAAGTTTGGTTTTTGAATCAGTAGCATCAGCATCACCTGGTAACTTGTGAGAAATGCAAACTCTCTTCAGTAGGTTCCACCCCAGACCTACTGAATCAGAAATTCTGAAGATGGGACCCAACAATGTGTTTTAAGATGAGCTCCAGGTGATTCTAATGTATGCTAAAGTTTGAAGATCACTGTACTAGATGGTCCTCTGATATATACCTCAAATTTAAGAAATACACAGAGATAAATGATTACAAATAACTGTAGGCTAGAAGACTATTCTGTTAAGTGACAGCTGGTATAAGTATATAACCAACATTTTCAAAATATGCATAAATTATATACACAAGCAACCCCAAGCTTATAATGAGTTGTTAAAGACATTTAATTATATTACTTGGAACTAAAGTCAAACTCCTCCTTTAGAAACGATCTTACATACCCTAGTTAAATTCCTAGCTAAGCAACAAAAGCCTTTTAAACCTATAAACACAGAACAAATGATCTTTTACAGTTAAATATTTTCATGGGTAAAAAATTAACCAAAATTCTAACTCAGATCGTTGGAAAGATTCACTTTTCCTACCACAACCTTAGCAATGAGAGAAGACAGATTTCTTCCCACACTGTGATCAAAATAAACATTTTCCTCTTCCTTTCTGCCCTTCTACCTCTGCAAAAATAGAGACTGGAGTTAGGGGCAGGCACCAGGCACAACTGTGATAGAACAGAGGTACAGGAGAGCTGTGATGGAGATGGCAGAGGGGAAGGGTGACAGCTCTAGCACCTGCGCATCTTGGTAACAATACTATGTTTGTGCATATGCTCATGCATATGTCTATGTATAGGACTTCCACAACTTGGATGTTTGGTCTCCTGCTTACAGGTTTTTAATACTTGCAGCCAAAGAAAGAATTTCAGAACGAGATCTGAACATTAAGATGTTCAGTTAAAAAGAACAGCATTAGTGGGTGAAGGTAAGATGAGAAAGAGGCTATTTACATTGTCAAAAAAAGTATCTCCCCACAAGATATATATTAGCAACAAAGGAAAAAAATATTTGTGCCCTAGAGAAACCTGGTAGCGCACTACCTTAACTAAGTGATCTATGTTAACATCACCAGTAATGGGACAGATTGACTTCATATGCTTCCCAATATGAGGCACTGAGAAAGACATGACCCTTCTGTTCTTGGAACAGGCACTACTAACATGACTCATCCCTTTCAGATTATAAGAATTAAAATAATGAAACATCATTATACTTCCTTTTTATATATGTTATATAATAAATTATTTGTATAGTAATAAACTACTCAGATTTTTAGTAATATGGTATCAATTAATTTATTGATTTTGATAACTGTAGTGGTTTTAAGACTTTATTTATTTATTTGAAAGAGTGAGTGAGAGAGAGAACAAGCAGAGGGGAGGGGCAGAGGGAGAAGCAAACTCCCTGCTGAGCAGGGAGCCCGATGCGGGACTTGATCCCAGGACCCTGGGATCATGCCCTGAGCCGAAGGCAGACGCTTAATTGACTGAGCCACCCAGGTGCCCAGCAGATTTCTTTAGAGTACCTTTACACGATGTAAATTTGTGAGCATTTAAAAAAAAAAAAAAGAGGTATTAAAAGCCAAATCAAATACTTCAGGTGTCAAGGGATTAATATACAACAGCTGATAAATTTTCTGTATAGTCACTGTTGTCAAAAATTAAAATTAGATGCAATCACCAAACTCTGGAGAAAACTGTATTTGTGCTTGTAACAATCTGCAGATACTTTTGGCAGCCTTGTTTTTACAAATGAAAATTACGTATTCTTTTCTATTTCAAGACCTTGGGTTAAGCAAAGATCTCTTAGAACACAAAGAGGAAACCATAAAAATACTGCTAAATTGGAATTAATCAAAATTTAAAATTTTGCTTTTCAAAAGACAATTAACATAATGAAAAGGCAAATCAGAGAAATAATAACAAAAGACAACCCAATTAAAATGGGTAGAGATTTGAATAGACATTTTGATATACGATGATTACAAATGGCAAATAAGAACATGAAAAGATGCTCAACATCACCGATCATCAGGGAAACATAAATTAAAAGCACAATAGGTACCACTACACACCCACTAGAATGACTAAAATTTAAGAGTGACAATAACAAGTACTGATGAAGATATGGAACAACTGGAAGTCATATACAGGAATGCAAAATGGTACACACACGTTGGAACAGTTTGGCAAAAAGTTAAACATACACTTACCCATATGGCCCAGCAATCCCATTCCTGGGGAAACAAAAACATATTCCCCCCCCAAAAAAAGACTTGTACAGGAATATTCATAGCAGCTTTATTTATAATAGCCCCCAACTAGAAACAACCCCAATGCCCATCAACTGGAGAATGCATAAACTCTGGTATGTCTATCTAATATTGCTCAGCAATAAAGGAACTACTGACACGTGCAACAACTTGGATGAATCTCAAAAGCATTACACGAGAGAAACCAGACAAAAAAGAGTACATTCTATGCAATTCCATTTATATGAAGTTCTAGAAAAAGCAAAACTATAGTGACAAAAAGCCTATCAGTGGTTGCCAGGAACCAGCAACGAAGGGACAGAATTAAAGGCAAAGGGGCAAGAGGGAACTTTCTGGGGTGATGAAAATATTCTCTATCATGATTGTGGTGGTGAACACACAACTGTATACCTTTGTCAAAACTCATCAAATTGTAAACTTCAAATTGGTGAAGTTTGCTGTATGTAAATTATAACTCAAAGCCAATTTTAAAATTTAGTTAATAGCATAAAGGGTTACCCTTAGGGTATTAACTAGAAGGGAGTACAAGGGAACTCTGGGGTAGTGTTCTATTTTTTGATCAGGGCAGGGGATACATGGGTGTTTGGTTTGGAAAAAGTCACTGAGGCGTACAATTATGATTTGTTACTTTCTGTACATTTTATTTCAATAAAAAGTTTACTAGCAAAAAATGCATCCTCAACAGTCTGACTTCATACAAATAATCACAATGATTCAAAATTGCAGTCAAGAAAATAACGGAGTAGAAGAAAAGTAAGCTGAGTTGATCACTAAAATTATAAAGGGATTCAAAAAACAACCACTTGTCCAAAGTACATTTTCCTATGCGGGGGACTTGACTAATTTTCTACGTGTGTGTGTGTGTGTGTGTGTGTGTGTGTCACGTGCACACACGCATATATGTGGTTAGGACACAATGGACTTGTGTGTGTGTGTGTGTGTCACATGCACACACGCATATATGTGGTTAGGACACAATGGACTTTCCCCAAACCTTACTCAACATAACCTTTTCTTAAATTAAGTTCACTTTTCTTTTTATTTCTAGAGATATGCATAAAGACAAATGTACATAGAACATTTTCATTCCAAAATTTAGTTTCCTGCTTAGAAGGAAAAAAAATCTTACTAACCTCTTTCATAAATGATTTGCCTATGCGCACCACTTTTGCAAATAAAATGGGATCATGCGAAAGGTGAGGACCAAGGTAACAGAACATATTGAAGACATCTCTCCTCAAATCTTCAAAGCTCTCTGCTTGTTTTGGTGCCCTCTTATTTTGCAAAGCATTAACAGGTGAACCTTTAGCACCTTTAGGAACGCCAACTCTATAAAAAGAAGCAAAATTTATATGTATACTATACAATACCCCATTTTAAGTTAACACAGTCATATTAATCAGTAAGTAAAGCTTTTCTTGCTCAAATTTGATTTCTATATTTCACTTGTGCCTAACTTTATTAATTAACACCAGATAATTTAGCTGGTAGAAAAAGACAAAAACAATACTCATTTGGAAAAAATCAGAGTTCAGAGAATGTTTCAAATTAATTGCATAAGGAAATCAGAGAAACGCATATTTCAAGTAACATTTAACATACATTGTATGAATTTGGTTTTAGTTAAACTTGGCCAGTATCAGGAATTTGGATATGGGAATGGGGAACAAGGGATGGACCTCAGAGACACTTGAAGATGAAACAGAAAAATATGGATATAACAACAGAGATTCAAGTCAATAAACACTTCTCAATGTGGGTTCCACTACCTAGACTGAGTATGAGGTAGGTGGTGGTAGGGAAGGTGAGCAGCATAATGAAAGAGGGTGTCACACTAAAAAGGACAGCATGCCCAGAGTTCTCACCTGCTGAGCAGGTGTCCCGCTGTGGAGTCACAGGGGTCACTCTTTGAGAAGAAGCCTTCATGGTCCACAGCCCAGGTGGCACTAAAGGCAGCAGCCAGCAGCTATGCACGAGTCACAAGGCTGGGGCTTTTGAGGCAGGCTCTGATCTGTGGGGCTGAAGCCAGAGCTGCTGCCAATACTGCTCCTAAGTATCCTGCAAGTAGGCTGAGGGCTAGAGGACTGGTCGACACAGTAACTAGGGGTGATGAGAAAGGCTGCACTAGCAATTTCCAGAACAGCAGCCTATATGCCAGAAGAGATAAGGCAAGCGGAGAGGCAATGTCCTCACTCAGAGCCACTCAACCCGGGACAGAGGAAATTTACACTAAGTAAAAACCTCAGGAATTCTCTGCCCCCCACCAAGAGAGGAGGAAAAGTCAAAAACAGAAGAATGGAGTTTTCACTCTGTGGAGCAAACCCAACCTAGGTGTCTAACCTACAGTTTTCCAACTACACTGCAGCACACCTTCTGCATCACCTGGTCTAGACGTTAGGAGACAAGCCACTGATTAATACATATAAAACTGATACACTCTGTGAATAGTTCTTATCTTCTAATAAAACATACTAAAATATTTGCTTGGTTGGAGAAGACAAGATAAATATGTAGATTTTTTACTGTAGTCCTAAGCTATTTCTACCTCAATGATTAGAAAAGCATACTGTAACATACCTTCGGTAGAGAGGCTCAATAGTTATGTGAATGAGCTTGCAAATTGCAAGGGCTATTAGCTTATGTGAAGCTGCATAGTATGGAGGCATCTGATCCATAATGTTCTGCGCATGCTGCCAATCACCAATCTTTAACAAGGCTTCCAACAAACCAAGTTTTTGGTTGTCAGGTGGCTAAAAATGAACAATTACAGCAAAGATACTCAGAATATAGACACCAATAAATCTCAATGTTTTTTCATTTTAAAAAAATTGAGCTCAATAACCATAATAATGTATGTCAACAGCTGCCACTCATGGGAAATGCAATGACATTTCCCTGAAGGTACAATCAAGTTTTTTAGCTACTGAAAAAAACAACAGGATATGCCCTTTCATTTAGCAGACACAGCATGACAGTTTATAGACCTGGAATTAAATTAAGTTCTATTTAATGTCTTACTGTGCCATAGGGAACTAGAATTCATTCATCTTTGAGAATCCCCTTAGGACTTGAGAGACATTAATACACAGAGCACATATATACTTCACTTAGGATACATTTTGAAATTTATGTAAGAAAAAACACAGCAGCCTCTTTTGGGAAGGTGCCAATCAGATTAAAAACAAAACCACCTTTGCAAATCGGTATTCCAAAAACCAGATTTCACCATAATCAAAATTAATAAGTTATTCTCCCATAAGTTGATTAACTATTACAAGTTATATTTCCTAATTCTAAATCCAGAAGACAATGTTAATTTTACAAAAAGGAACCATATATATACCTTCTCTACTTTCTCCTCTTCTTTTTCCTTTTCTTTCTCTCGTTCATCAATTTTTTCAGAAGACAATACAACCATCGTAAGTTTTCTAACAATTTGCTTAGCTTCCACAATTTCTCGTTTGTGTTCATCCATAATGCAATTATCAGCTGGAAGAAGCTAAAAATGGTTCATTAAAGTTTCATAAAACAGCTAATACTATTTGCACATATAAAAAGCAAACACCATCTACTCTGAATTGATAAAATTGTAAATAAGGCCTAGCCTATTAACGACCATGATTTGCCTTCAAAATAAGTTTCTCTCCATTATTTTCTTATAATCTAACAGGGTTAAGTATCTGAAATTTGTACACCTTTTAAAATCAGGTAGCAGTTCAAAGTTCCATGTCTTCTTTCTGTTAGAGGTCCTACATTAATACAATACTAGAACAGTGATGCTTACCATTGAATTTATTAGATTACCCAAGAAAATGTATAACTGTTCCATTAAAAATATCACAGATTTCCCCTTTAAAGGTCAAACTCCAAATTAAATAAAGTACTGCATATGGATCCAATTTGGGAGACATGAGCTACTGAATTACATGAAGGGGTAAATTTAATTCCTCTAGATGAAAAATCTCAAGTAGAAAAATTACGAGCAACTTGACATCTCACTTTTCATTTTCTAATACCTATTTGATGACTTAAGTCACAAACTAGTTTCTAGCTTATTACAAAAGAGAAAGTAATATGTGTATAGTCAACCCTCCATTATGAAAAAGGACCAAATATCTCCAGTACAGCCATCTTGTATGAGTGGAAGAAGGTTAATGTAGATATTTCATAAAATAAATTAAAAAAACCCAGACACAAGGAAAAATATAGCCAACAAACCATAGTAGTTTCTGCTAGGCACTATGGTAGGCTATGAAAGAAGTGTTCCTGCCCCCAGAAATACATAATCTACTTCAGTAACTAAGTCTAATGCAAAGTAAATAATCACTAAACAATAAAATGAAACATAGTAAAATATTAAACTACATATTGTACACTTCATCCCATTAGTCAAAAATGGGGGCAGGAGAAAAGTCACTAGGGACTGATGGCAAGGAGTAAGCAAGACTTTTTCTCATTCTTCCTGCTCTCCACTGGCCAGCGAACCCATTTTTATTGCTTTACTTATGTACCTGCCAAAGGTCCTCATCTTTTACCTAGATTAATGCAACTGCCTCTAAAAAATCTCCCATTATAATGAATAAACTATAAGTTTCTTCTTTTTTTTATTATTTTAAGTAATCTCTTCACCCAACGTGGGACTCAAACTCACATCCTGGAGATCAAGAGTTGCACACTCTACCAACTGAGCCAGCCAGGCACCCCTGTAAGTTTCTTTTATAGTTCCTCTCAATTCTAGTTTTGTGTATTTTGAGAATATGTAATTAGGTGCATATAAAGTTACAAATGTTTTATCTTCCTGTGAACACAACTTTATTTACTATGAAGTGACTATCATTTTTTGCCAAAAAAGTCCATTTTGTCTAACAATAATAATTTCCCTGGTATATTTTTCCCACCCTTTTACTTTCAACCTTCCTTTGTCCTTAGGTTTTGGAAGTCTCATGTGAAAAATAAACAATAAACTGGTTTTTAATCCCATCTGAAAATCTTTGACAACTTAACAGGAACACTTAGGCCGCTTGCATTTATTGTTAAACATTTCAGTAATAAATCTATCATCATCTATCATCTTTCCATTTGTCCTACCAGTCTATACTTACCTATAAACTCATACCTGTCTTTGAATTCCCCTTTTTCTGACCAATTTTCCATGTTCTCAGTTTGTAACATCACTTTTCTACTTTAAACTTTGAATGGCTCTCTACTCCCAACAAGAAAAAATTAAAACTCCTTACTATGGCACTTAAGGCCCTGCAATGTTTAGCCCCAATCTACTTCTCCATCTTCATCACCCCACATACTAGCCTAGGCTCCAACCACTCTGAGCTTCTTGATGTTCCCCTAAGGCGATAATGAAGCCCCTTCAATCCTCTTGCCTTTATACTCAGTTAATTCTACCTACAAAACTTCCCACCTTTAAAGACAGGCCATTACCATCTCATCTACCAACATCTCAGTTCAACATCACTAGTTTGAAAAAGCCTTCCAAAATCCCCCCCAGACAGACATGGTCACTATCTAAGATATTCTGAGTCCCTACAGCACTTTGTGAATACCTCCAATAGAGTAGTTACTATATAATGCAAAAATGTTTTCTCCGTTGCTAAACTATGGCTGCTTCCAAGGTAGAGACTAAGTTTTATTCAACTCTGTAACCATAGTACATGAGAGAAAAAGTGATTTCAAAGACAATGAAGATGGTATCAGCTTTGGACAGGTTTGTTTTAAGTCCATAGATGTCCAAATGTACAACCAAATAAAACAGGAATTTCTATACTACAAACCTAGTTTTTTCAAACTGACAGGCTAAACTGTTGCTAAACTGGAGGTCATCAATCACAATCACATATACACTCTTCTAGATCCTGGATCCAACAATAAAAGCACAATACTAGTCATTTACTACCCAGTAAAAACACAAGAAAAGCCTTAAAAAAATATACAGACTTGCCCCATTCATCTTGAATGCCTAAAATTAACATTTTGGGGAGAAGGAAAAAGTATCTAGGTAATCCCATATTTCTGATAATTTGCATATAAGAGAAGTCTAAAACCACATTGGTTAGAACTTGGCCTCTCTCCCCATGAGATATACCTTGCTGACAATTAAAAACTTTAACTTCATATCCAACCTCAAACTCTGTAAGAGTGACAGAGGGTATTTAATTTCCATAGTTTGTCAAAGAATTAAATTCATTTACTTCATAAAGTAAACACAAAGCAATAATGCATTAGGGCTTCAAAAATTAAAACTTGAGAGCCTGACCAACCTTGAAGTGCTATATGGCTGCCTACTCCTCTTCCCACCCCTGGGATGCACAACCAAATATTCTTAGCAGCCCACTTGACTTACATGTACATAAAGATCATCTAAATCAATAAGATTAAACTGTAGAAGTACTGCTGCAACTCTGTATAAAGATGAAGGAGTCTCTCCATTTGGTTCCTTGAAAAACAAAAAAAGTTTCTATTTAGTGCATAAAGTAAAACTAAAATCATATCCTTTACCTACCAATAATCAAGAACAATTACATCAAATAACTAGATCAACAATAAGCTTCATTGCTCTTCCCGATCATACATGACATCTGAACTGAGGACAAAGATAATTAGGTCAACATCCCTTTTCACACTGGAACATTTTCTGATGAACACAAAGGTTTCAAAAATGGACACATTTTACAGTGCATGCTAATATTTCAACAAAATCTGAAAATCAAATAGAATAAGTGAGATTTTATACTGCATAATACTTAGTTTTGGGTTTTATTTGTATGTGTGTTTTCTTAACTTGCTTTTTCAAGTAGTTCTCAATGGAGATGCAGACAGACAAGAGTGACAAATTTGGAAGTGCTAAACTATCTGTGTCTACTTTATACTTTTCTCCCTATTCTTTTACTTCTTGGGTTTTGTGCTAAATATATCTGCTTGTCAACTGATTTCCCCCTTCAAAACGGGTGTCTATACATATTACACATGGATAAATCAACATTTTAAAATACAGAATGGCCAATTCCAGTGAATCCTTCACAGAAACAGAAGGATCTTTGAATCAAGACTTTTCCTCTAATTTTTAAACTGCTTGGGATCAGCTGAATGGAAGACTGAAGTCATGACAACTGGCAATTACTAAATGGCCAAATGCAAATAAAAAGCAAACAGTGACAATACATTATGTTCCACTCCTACTCAACACTGGAAACAAGATCTTTGTAAGGTTCCCCACAATTGTAATAGGTGTTATGGATATAACACAGGAAGCTAACCAAACTAATGGATATCCTATAAAGAAGGCATTGTTCACTGTATTTCTTAAGACAGGTTAAGTCGGGCGCCTGGGTGGCTCAGTCGTTAAGTGTCTGC